ACAAAAAAAAAAACATACTGTCAGTAGTTTGGAAGACGACGAGGTACATGATGTGCTTCAGTGACAGCTGTGACCTGACTCGGGCGTCAACGACTGAAGCGGCTTCGCCCCGCTTAACACTGGACGGCGACCTTTCTGTGTCCAGAAGTATTGTCCTTTATGGGAGTAAAAAAATACTTTACGTGCCGACAACTGGCCGATCCTTGAGCATTTATTTTTCAACCTAAGCGATGCTTGTGCCTCGTTATCAAGGTTAACTTTTAAAAACGGTGCACTTTGGGGCTTTTCGATAATACTTATCAGAACTTTGATTGTATCCCGTTTCCATTCATTTTGAATGGTCTGGCGCAAATTACGTCATTTTTTATCTAATGTGTCCATCTGCCCACGTGTCTTGCAGTTGACGAGAAAACATTTTATTTACTGACCCTCAAGATGTTATCATTGACCTTCAAAATTATAATCTCATTTCAGGTCTTTATGCTTCACCGGAACACTGCTGATGGCATTTGCTAGACCAGGTAATTATTCTTTCTGGACATCAGACTTTTACAAGAGTCCAAAGAGGAGCTCCTTTGTCTTATATTTTGCTGGACAGCATATACGGCTGTTCCAAAACTGTTGATTTCTGCACATTTATTTTTAGTCAGGTTACTGAGTTCAAATGTTTTACATAACAGCATCGATTGCAATGTCTGCACACAAATACCTTTGAAGAGGAGACAACAAAGGCGTTTCGTTTCTTCGCTCTCCGCGGGTGAACACGATGACGTAAACCATTCTGCACGAACTGCTGGGGCGTTTACGAATAAAACCAGCGGACTTTTAGGTGCACGCGGTGCACGGAACATGTAATTTTGAAGTGTCTCGTGGTTTTTTTTTTTTAGTTTCTAATGTATCACAAATAGTACAAATAATTGGAGAGAAGAAATTACACATTTGATATTTTTTACATTTAAAATCAACGCAAAAGAATTAATCAACACACCTACTGTAGATTTGCCCTACGGCCTCATGCATCTCTGTTGCCATGACCTTCTCGTCAACAAATATTAATTTTTTTGTTATTTGAATTTGAGAAGCTTCAACAGGGCTCATGATTATATCTCATCTTAGTATTTCAATGGCGGGTCCAACGGACTTAGTGGGTCACGTGCCCCCTACCTCCCCCCCTTGTTTGGGACGCATCAACTTTCCTCAACATCTTTTTTTAAATTGAATAAATGAATAGTATAACACACGAAAAGAAACAAAATTAAGTAAATTTACATATTACATTAAAAATTTTCCCGTCTTTTGGTTTATATGAGAACAAATACTTGGATCTGACAATTTCGCCCTTTGTGTAAGTTAAAAAAAATTGTCAATGTGTCAGTTACAAGAAAACTGTAAATGTCAACCATAACGCTTAATTTGTCATAAGCCCTAATGTGTACTAACAAAAATCATATATTTTCACAACCAGGTTAAATCTCACTTCTGCCATTTACATCACTGTATAACTTTTAAGAGAAAGTTACCTTCCACTTGTCATGATAAGGAGGATAATATACAAGTATATATAATTTTGCTAAAAACACAAAAAAAAAAAATTGATCCAATTTGCAAATTGGCAGAGATCAAATTTACAAAATGACTTTTAAGTCAAAAGCTTGGTCTTTACCTATTGTATAAGACCGTAGAATGTATGTGCACTGAAAACTTGATTCCAAACACTTTTCTATGATATTTCAGGTCTGGAATGGCTACTATTCCCAGGATCTATCGGCCAATACCTAGGTGGTGTTATGTACCTTGCGACTGGTATGCAGATGCCGCAGCTTTTTCCTAAGATCAAAACGACTCTTGGAATCATGGTTTCTGGAGCAACAGACATGAGCACGTCGTCTTTTCTTTTTGTTAAAGTAAAACTATCATATTTCTTCTGCGGTTCGATTATTTTTAAAAGGATTATTCAAATGTTTATTCAATTATTAAGACGACTCTTCAAACGATGCATTTATATTGTTGGGTACATTTGGGTGTGTGCTAAATTTCATTTTAATTGCTTTGTTTTTTTGTATTAGAAAAAGTACAAGTCGTGGAGTTTTACCCGAGATATATGAGATAACTGTCAAGGCGAAGTGCACGCAATTATCTCCTCCATCTCGTATGGGTGGCTCCGTGCTCTGTTCCACATTCGTGCATTTGGTAACTCCACACAGAAATAATACTAATAATAATGATAATAATAATAATAATTTTTTATTTATCTTTCTAAGCTGGCTTATGACGCTGGAATACCTTACCAGAGCTCAATGTTGGTGTTTGCTTCCATTGGTCTCGTAATTTCTACCATTACTACGATTTTGCTGCCCCCTAGGGACCACGCGGCAAACGACAAAGAAACAAAAACTGTTTCTGAAAAGTGTTTGTCCATGTCTTTATATACATGTAATTGTCTGGGAAACCAGGAAAAAGATTCTAAAAACGCCAAAGTAGACTTCAATAACAGAAAGAGCGCAGATGTTTTTATTATAAATGACACAAACCAAAACAATTGGAAAACGACTGAAAATGAGGACACAGAAAAACCAATGGCAAAAGTACCATCTCTACCTTCTTCATCTGCAGACATGATACAAAACGGCAAAAAACCAGCGGAGAACGCTGGTACCGTCATTGAAAAACAAGAAAATGGAGACATCGTTAATGCAGGAGAAATCGTCTTGGGAGAAAAACCAGTGACAGAAACCTCATCAACCGATGAGAAGCTGCAGTGCGATGTCCCCAAGCTTTCCTCGATCTTCAAGAGCCCTTTGTTTTGGACAACACAAATTTGGTTTTCAGGGAATGTTTTGTTGGTAGTGATGTATTTCGGCAGCTTCAACTCCATCATAGATTACTTATCACACGGTGACCAAAGTATAGGTAAGACTGGGTTCCCATACCTAGATCTAACAGGATCGATCCATCTCCGAGGGATTTATCGCTAAATTGCTTTCAGCTTAAGCGATAATTAAATACCCCCTAGCATTTGAATATTTTAAAAACTAGAGAAGTGATTAAATTAGTCTTACAGAAATTGCCTCCGGGATTTGAAGAAAAGAGTTTGCGCTTTTAAAGTCTGTTTTTTATACTGCAGGCGTTGGGTAATTTTGCTCAGCTACTTCTGTGTGTGTATGTGTTCGGAAATGTTTGTTAGTAACTGGGGAGGGGGTCTCTTTGCTTTTTGTCATTAAATTCTGTGGTTAATATTGAATAAAAAAAATTGTTGCCACATATATCATGATTTCCAGAATTATAATTTTCGTAGTTACAATGTTACAGTTTATAGTATTCGCAGTTAAACCCAATTCAAAACCTATCGTGTCCATCATATTCAGCAAAGAGCACATTTGTAGAGGAGCCATTTCTTCAAATAAGGAGGTGAAAACAGTAAAGCGTTGACACAATCCTCGGGTGGATTTTATCGTGAACACTGATACCATTATTTGTCTCGATTCCGATACAAGTATTTTTCTGGATTCCAGTGAGCCACTACACTAACGTCCTTGGTATCCTCCAACTGACCACTAGCATACCGATGGCCATAGCTGGGGGATACATGGTGGACAGACAGAAAAACAGAGCTCAGAAGGGGGCTAAAGGTGGGTGACCAGTGATGTGCAATGCGCGATGGCAGACCTTTGTATAGCAAAACAGTAGATGGAACCAGAGAGAGAGAGAAGGGGGGGGGGCATATATCCATTTAGAACAAATTTATAGTCTCCCCTCTCAACTTCTGCATTAGATAACCTATGTTTCACTGTTATTTAAGATAGAGTTGACACTCATGACAAATAATTAGGATGCACAGCATCGATAACGGTTTGGTTGCCTTAACAATACCATCACGTTTCTGTATCATTATTTTTAAATTCAATTTAAAAATCCACTAATTGTAGCCAGTAACCTTTTAATAATAGATAGGCCTATTTTCATAATGTCTGTCTGTTTGCAGCTCAGCCAAAGTTCTTCCTCGGCCCCTTTTTCATCACAAGTTTTTCGGGCCTGAGTCTATGGGCTTTATGTGCTGTACCAGTGTTAGAAGTTCAATATGTGGCAATGCTGGTACACAGTCTACTAAGAACTTTCGCATATGGAGTACATATATCGTTTTTGGCATATGCGTAAGTATGACCGTTCCCTCACAAAGCGTTTCTGAACTTCCTATCATTGTCAGACCTTGCATTTAGTGATTTAACAGTTAAAGATGCATACAAAGTCAATTTTTTGTCACAAAAACCAACCAAATGCCAGCATATAGTTTCAAGTAGTATAACTAAGAGAATTACCAAAAGGCATTGTTTAATTTTACCCGAAAATGATGTTTGAACGGATTTTTCTGCTGGCATTCTAAGCTGTATGTCAATGGGGCAGGAAAGTAGGTCACGAAAGTAGGTTAAATTTACAACCAAAAATTTAAAGAAAGGAGCAGTCTAAATGTCTTTTATGGCTGATCGAGTGATCTATTCAGTTTATCCCTTGGCATATAGAATTTATTTGAGTCATATAAGAATCTAGTAGAAGTGGTTTACATGTGTTACTGGGAATCCAAGCTCCACCGATACTCGGTTCGTATGTATCTTTAACAAAAAACATAAATGAAAATAAATTAATTCATGAATGAATAAAATCTGAATGTAAGAAAAGTACACAGAGAGCGCAGACCTCCGCCGAGGACTTCACACTTATAAATTGCGATGTTGAAGAGCACGTTCATTGCACAACAGGTCAAGGTCATGTACCCCATCTCCCAATCGTGAAGAAACCCTTTAAAATTCTTGGATCCAGATGATGATCCAGATAACGGATGACCACCAAAATAAAATCACATTTAAGTTAGCCCATTTGTGACCTAACCTGAAAAATATCAAAACGCATGCATAACTTTTTGAGTTAGGGTTGAGACTAACAAACAAACATACAGACAGACAAACGGAGGTGAAAACGTAATCTCCTTTGCGGAGGTAAAAAAGTCTGATGTCAATGCAGAGTCCCCCACGATAGAGAGTCCGCTTCCCATTCATTTGTATAGGTAAGCCTCGCACCTAGATTTTGACACAATTAGGTCAGGCTAACCCTAACCATTATAACTAAATGGAAGGCGGACTTTCTGTCAAACGGACCCTCAGTTTCTTACACCGGCACAACATTTTGGAAAGATACCTGCGTATATTCCATCCAGNACAGGTCAAGGTCATTTACCCCATCTCCCAATGGTGAAGAAACCCTTAAAAATTCTTGAATCCAGATGGTGATCCAGATCACGGATGACCACCAAAATATAATCACATTTAAGTTAGCCCATTTGTGACCTAACCTGAAAAATATCAAAACGCATGCATAACTTTTTGAGTTAGGGTTGATACCAACAAACAAACAGACAGGCAGGCAAAAGGAGGTGAAAACATAATCTCCTTTGCGGAGGTAAAAAAGTCTGATGTCAATGTAGAGTCCACCACGATAGAGAGTCCGCTTCCCATTCATTTGTATAGGTAAGCCTCGCACCTAGATTTTGACACAATTAGGTCAGGCTAACCCTAACCATTATAACTAAATGGAAGGCGGACTTTCTGTCAAACGGACCCTCAGTTTCTTACACCGGCACAACATTTTGGAAAGATACCTGCGTATATTCCATCCAGCTTTCTACTCAGACCGAACTACTTTATAGCAACATTTTCTCTTAGGTTCCCGCCACAGCATTTCGGCAAGATATATTCCATCCAGCTTTCTACTCAGACCGTGATTGGTAGTCTTCAGTATCCTCTGTTTTACTGGCTTAAGTCGGGCCTCGAAAGTAGTCCTTTATTTGTAAGTACATATCATCATATTCATGAATTTGAATTATTTTTTTCTAATCATAAAGAAATTCTTTGAGCTTTATTGCATTAAGAAAATTCCCGGCAAGGTATCATATGTGAATGTTTTCCTTCAATGTCATTATACAAAAGAGACCGAACATATTATATTTGACATATGAAGACATGCTTTAACTTTTCAAATCTCACAACAATAAGTGTTAAAGACTATCATTATGTTATCATCTTTTCAGTTCAGCCTAGTGAACGTAGGTATTGCGTGCCTTACCTTCTGCTTGCCTATATACGTCCTCAGGATGGAGGGACCAAAGAAGGGAAAAGAAAACCAGGTCGCTGATATTCAGACTTTTTAATGCAGGCGTTGTCGGACTACCGGTGTAGATGAACTTAATATTCTTCTTTATTTCTGACATTGTTATGTTAACTTCAAAATGATTTTGACCTTTGTAAATTCTTATTAAAATTACAAATTATTACTTTGTATCTAGAATATAATTTTGTAGAAGCAGAAATAGGAGGAAACGTGCCAGATCACATTCTGTATTAGTTTGCCCACATTTGTTAAATAACAGTCCAAAACTACAGGTTTAGTAAGATATGACAATAAATAATTCTTTGTTTCGTCCTCGTTCAAGTCTGTGCTTAGGGGTGGGTGGAAGCCGTCTTCTGGGTCCTACGGATGAGGGTCAGAAATTTTCAAGTTTACATTAACGCTCATCAATTTTTTTTTCTGTCGAAAGACGGTCAAAAATGGAGGATGGATCAGCAAAGATAATTTAAAAGACTGTGAGAAAATATCTCTGGATCCGCCCCAAGATGTTGGTCCCGATACAGATTCAGCGGGAGATTGAAGAAAAAGAAATCAACATCGAAAAGCCCTGTGACAAACTGAATGTGATGGATGTTATATTTTGTTTTTATGTTTTTAAAATCTATAATGTGATTCAGATGTATCAACGAGAACCTTAAAGATGCATACGAAGTCAATTTTATGCCACAAAAGCCAACCAAATGCCAGCATATAGTTCCAAGTAGTAGAACTAAGAGAATTACCAAAAGGCATTAATTTTACCCGAAAAATGATATTTGAACGGATTTTTCTGCTAGCATTCTATGCTGTGAATCAATGGGGCAGAAAAGTAGGTCACGAAAGTAGGTTTAATTTTTGACCAAACATTTAAGGAAAGGAGCAGTCTAAAACTCTTTTATGGCTGATCGGGTGATTTATTCAGTTTATCCTTTGGCATGTCGTATTTATTTGAAACTAGTAGAAGTGGTTTATATGTGTTACTGGGAATCTACGTTCCACCGATGCTCGGTTCGTATGTATCTTTAACCACGTGTTAGTGAGCCTTTCCCTTAAATTTGACACCGACATATACATTTACCACTGAGTCAACCCGTATACATAAAATTTCTCCATCATTCACTCATCTCTGGCGCAAGAATGTGCTAGAGAAGACGGGAGATTTGGACACAATGTGCCTGGTTGTGTCTCCTCTACTTGCGTTACACCTGGTAAGGGCCCCTTTACACTGGACGGCGTCCTTTCTGCGTCCCTTCTGCGTTCAAAAATGTGGTCAGGACGCTCAACGGTCGCCAAAGCAATTAAATCGTGTCTCAGTGTAAAGGCGCCTGCGTCCCTTGTGAGTCCTTTGAACGACCGAATCTTGATTTGACCTGTAAAACTGCGAGCGACATGCCTGCCTCCACTGTACGTCCCCTATGCAACCCAAGGCGTCCATTGCGATGTTTGAGCGACCATTGAGCATTCTTGCTGCGTTCTCTGTGCCTTCCTCGGCGATCAGTGGCGTCTATTCTACGATCATTCTGCATCCTGCTTGACCGATGAGCGTTGTTTGGGCGTCCTTCTCTATATCCTAACTCTTTTTTTATCGGTTCTAACCAGGTCATCCAATAAAGAACATTTCCAGCACACAAAACAAATAAATGGGAATAAACGCTTTAAACTATAGTGATGCAAGGTCTGCATGGATTGTTATAATCAGCCAGATGCTCATTGTTATACATATAAGAAGGGTGGACAGGCGCCGAAAACGNTCCTTTTTAATTTCTACGTTTTCTTCGTCATCCTTATTACGTCTTATTGATATTATAATCTATTTTTAATGCATCTGAAATATTTTCTTCAGGTTCCAGGAAGAGTTCTTATTACCCTTCCATTATACTTTGTAATGTCTCTTTGCGTTTATATTCTTACAACATAATAATTTTTCTACTTCATAATACTCGTATGCGTCTTGCTTACTGTCCGAAGCAAGTTCCACTATTTCTGTGTCATGAATGTCTCTATCTTGCCTTCCACTGGTCGTTTTATTCCCATTTGATTTTTTGTCTTGCTCATAATTACTTTCATTCAGCCGTTTGTATATATTGCAGTCTTTAGGGTCATAATACATTTTCAATCTGTTTGCATGAACAGGCGATTTATGTTCTTTGTGTGTTTTACAATCTCAAATAATACGTGCACACTGTTGATAATATTTTCGTGATGTAATATGGTCCTTTGTACTTGGTCTACAATTTAGAACTTAATCCTTTCGGTGTTATTGGTGTATATAACCAAACTCTATCACCTTCTTTATAAATCGGTTGCTTTGACTTAAGGTCGCACCTGTTTTATACTGTTTCTGAGCTGCTTCCCTGTTCTCTGTTGCAATTTCTTTTGCCGTTTTAAGTGTGTCTTTCAATTCTTCGATGTATTGATGTAGATTTTTGTTTTCATTAGGTTCAGGGATCAGATCACTATCTAATGGGGTACG